TATCTGTGGAATATTACTGCCTCAGCATTTGCCTAAGTGATCCAAGGAAACCACAGAAAAACTTGGACCAAGGCAGACGGACCCGGAATCGAACCGGCGTCCTCCCGAATGCTAAGCAATGGTCTAGACCTCTAGGCCATTCCCCTCTTTTTCTAATAAATACCAAAAACTGTAGGTCCCACAACTTTCTATTATCATCATAAGGTCGTCAGTCTTAAGACTGGTTGGGCACGCACCTCCACTTCTTCCTATCCTGAGCTAATCTTCGTATTTCCTTAAAACTAGAAAATCCCATATCCTTAACCATTTCCGAACAGTAATCTAATCTAGGTCTACCTCTACCCATCCTAACTCCCGTCTCTTCTATTTCTTATTGACTTTCATAGAGTCCTCTGTTTTCCTATTCTTTCTAATACCTCTTCATTTCTAACCTTCTCTATTCACGGTGTCCTCATCATTCGCTTGTAATACCACATTTCGAACGCTTCTAACTTTTTCTTTTCTGCAATGCTCACCGTCCATGTTTCGCACCCGCCCAGCGCCGCGTTCCAAACATTCACCCTCAACAATCTTTTTCAAATTTTTTAATTTATCATTCCCGAGCACAGAAGTGTGTACTATCCTCTGCTTTATATCTCAACTACTCCTTCCGTCCTGAGTTATCTGACTTCCTAATAGATACCTAAAATCAGCCGCTTCCTATCTTTATATGCGCTCTTTCCCTACTTTTTCTTCCCTTGCATACCATTATTTTTGTTTTACTTTTATTTATTTTCATACTTTCTACGATCACGTATTAATTATACGATTCCTAATCTTTTTATCTGAGAATTTTAAACAGAAGGAGCGTTTATCAAGCAAAGAAAATTGGTTATTCGCTTAAAAGTGGTTGCATTCAATGACCCCTTCGTACCTGTTCGTTTCTCTGATGGTCTTTCATTACAATTTTGTCCGAACAGATTGCATCTATACCTGAACCGTATCGTATGTACACCTTCAGATACCAGCCATTTACTAAACACCTATTATTAAGAAAACCGGATCGTCCGAATTTCGAGATTGTAATATCACTCCTTTTGGAACGATGAAATATGACTCCCCAAAATACAACACAGTGCAAATGTGTTTAACGTTGTGTGGTAGTCACGACCAGGTACCTACCAACACGGTTGGTAGTCACACATAAAGGATTACCATCAGTTACTTTTTAGGTGCGCAAACTTAATTGTAGACAACCTCTACGCTTTTAAGGAAATTATTAGATTCATAATTATTTTTAGACGTTGATTTAGATTTTAACGGTTGTCGTCTGAAGAAACTGGTGGTTATTGATGACGGATCATGGTGGCGTCAAAAGAGTTCGACGTTTCGTCTCCTATCACAAGGGACATCTTAAGGAACATTAAGTTGTCAATCCAACGATCTCTAATGTTGGTTCTAAAGTTTGTTTCTATTTATTTCAAATTATCATCATAAGATCGTCAGTCCTAAGACTGGTTAGATCTATTAGACCACTGCGTTACATTCTATGTATTTCGAGTCTACTCTGGTGGTAGTATTAGTTTCATTCCCCACTTTTTATAATAAATACCAAAAACTGTAGGCCCCAGAACTTTCTATCATCATCATAAGGTCGTCAGTCCTAAGACTGGTTGGACACGTACCTCCACTCTTTCCTATCCTGGGCTAATCTTCGCATTACCCTAAAACTAGAACAACCCACATCCTTAACTATTTGTAAATAGTAATCTAATCTAGGCCTACCTCCACCTTTCCTAACTCCCGTTTCTGCCTCTAATATGTCTCTCTGATTAGACCTTCATGCCTGAGAAGGTGTCATACCAATCTATCTCGCCTATTTCTTATTGACTTCTATAGAGTCCTCTGTTCTCCTATTCTTTCTAATACCTCTTCATTTCTAACCTTCTCTATCCACGGTATCCGCATCAATCGCCTGTAACACCACATTTCGAACGCTTTTAACCTTTTCTTTTCAGTCGCACCCACCGTCCATGTTTCGCACCTGTCTAGTAACGCTCTCCAAACACACCTTTAACAATCTTTTTCGAATTTTTGTATTAACCGTTCACGAACATAGAAGTGACTTCTTTTAATTGAAGGCGACTCGCCTCTGCGCTATCCTCTGCTTTATATCCCTACCACTCCTTCCGTCCTGACTTATCTGACTTCCTAGATATCTAAAATCAACCACTTCTTCTAATTTTTCGTCTCCTATCTTTATATTCGCTCTTTTCCTACATTTTTTTCCCTTGCATTCTATAATTTTTGCTTTACTTTTATTTATTTTCATACAATACTGTTTTGTCAAATAAAACTGTTTTAATAAGATGCCTAGACTCTAGGGCACATACCGCGTCCCCTGTAGGACTCCAGCACGTTATCGCCAACTTTGGGAAAGACTGAGAAACTGACTCAACAGTTTTGTTCTCCCTTTGAAGT